AGAGCTGAAAATAAGAGCAAATCTCATTCTTTGGCTGGCATTATGGACCACACCACACTTAACAAAACTATACCTGAGATACCATGAAAGGTCTGTACCTGTATTATAAAACCTGAAGGGGAAACATAGGACATAAAAACTATGGAAAAGGTTTACATGATAAAATTAACCATAGATTCACTAATAACTGAATATTATTTGTCAAAAGAGTTATGGGCATTTAGACGAGATTAATAAAAAAGTACAGTGTCTAGAATCAGGGGGGTTCAAGTTCTACTCTATTTCATGCTGGAGTACTGTACTCATGGGCAGATAAACTGGACCTCACCAACAACAGAGAGCAATACAGAAAGCAGTAAGATGAGAAACTAAGATAATACATGAGGAGCGGGTAAGCTAATCCATTAAAGCTGCCTCAAAACTAAGTATTCCTCAGCAGTTAATATTATTGGCTCAACGGTCTGCAATGATGGGCCCACAGAACAGACTCAAGCCAGGAAAGGGACCCACACCACATGAGTGGAGCCAAAATGGACCTGCTATATGCCAATCATCTAGAATGCTTACTGAAAATGTATATGACCAGGCCTCATCTCATGCCTAAAGGTGTAAGCATACGCATATGCATTTTTTAAAAGTATGCCAGGGGGTTCTGCTAATGTTTGGGAGCCACTGGAGGACCTTTATCATCATCTCTCCTAATCCTGGAATTCTATCATTCATTAAAAAAACAGATTAATTAAAACTGTGGCATTCTTTTCTAAACAGTAAAGTGATATATCAATTGATTCTTTTCCATTTTGTCAGCATATTATAGGAATTTCTACACTAAAAATCTAGAGAGGAAGGAACCCATTTCTTTTCTTACATTATGAAATTATGAATAGAGGCCTGTTTGCATGTACTATAAATATTCCCAGATAAAGTAATATATAAATGTATAATTCATTCTTACCACTTCCTATGAAAGAAATCACACTCGACACAGGTAAAACACTTTTTAAAGAAAGAACAAAATTTATACAAGTTTATTTTCATCACTCTCATTAACTGCAAAAAAAAATTTATCAGTAGTAATTAAAAAGTATTAATAATTCCTCCAGTTATTTATTACATTCTGATCAAATTTTGTCCCAGCACTCACTGTGACCTGGAGGACCAATAATAAACAGAAGGGAGAAGGTTACACGCTGCATCACGGAGCTTTTAGTCTAAGATAGATAAACTCATGAGAGTAGATAGGAGGAAACCTCGCTGTAAAAATTCAATGTATGTGCATCACAAATGATTCTATGCTTAATAAAGGAGATTTTTAAATACAGAGAGTAATTCCACTTTGTTATTTTTTACTGAGATAGAAACAAATGCCTACTTGATTTATTTGTAAGGGTAGCTGAATGTTAAATTTACTCAAGTTGGTAAGTGTACTGTGGTTGTGTAAGAGATAATCGCTTTTAGGAAGTACACATTCAAGTATTTTGGGGTAAATGGCTAAATTTTTAACCCTCAAATGGTTAAAAAAAATTGTGTGTGCGTAAAATATGATAAAGAGAGAATGCAAATATAAAACAAATGGGGTAAAATATTTACAAGTCATCTAGACAAAGGTATATTGTATTTGTGTAATATTTTTATTTTTGGAACTTTTCTCTAGATGTGAACTTTATTTTCAAATAAAGTTTTTAAAAAGAGGAGGAGGGAGATAAATGGGAAAATAATTAGCAAAATGTTGATAATTCTTGAAGATGGGTTGAGGGTAGATAAGGAGTTCATTTTACCATTCTCTTTACTTTTGTACATCTTTGAAATTTTCCATAATAAAATGTTAGTAAAGAAAAATAAGGAGTAGATAAAAATCATGTATGTAAAGTAGCTATTAAAATGTCTGGCAAACAGAAGTCATTTAATAAATGATAGACATGTTGTTATAAATGCGTTCACATCTACCTTGAGTGCAGATAAGTATTAGCTTTTGGTATTTAGTTACAAACGAGCATAACAAGTATTTTACTGACAGTCCACAGATGTAAGGCGCTCTGCTGGATACTGACTGCAGTGAACACCCTCGTGGAGGTCAAGAAGCAGATTATACACACAAGAGTCAGGTGGTGATCATGAAAGACACAACAGCAAAGTCCACGAGTCAAAGAAACTAAGCTCAAGTGCAAACCAATATCACCTAAGTGATCTTAGACAAGCAATATGATAACTAGGAACATCTCTGCATCTATCACATTAGAAAGTAAAACCATCTAGTTCACAAGGTTGCTATGAGAATACAGTGAGATACACAAAAAGTTGCTCTGTAAACTCAGAAGTGTTATAGACAGGTTAGCTATTGTTGTCTTGTACGTAGAGCCAACGTAGGGGGAATGACGCTTCTACATACTAACCATACCACATGGCAGAGTAAGTACCAAAGGAAAAGATCACATCTTGCTGGGAGAGAAAAAAGGAGTCTTTGTGGAGAAGGTGGTACTGGAGATGGACTTTAATGGATGGATGCGCAGAAATCAGTCAGAGAGGGGAGGAAGTAAGACTCTCGGTTAAAGAAATAACCCAAGCAAAGGCATGAAAAAAAGTGTAAGGCATGCAAGATATAACAGAGTTTTTGCTGGAGCCTAGGAAACAAATAATAGAATAACTAGAAATAACCTGAAAAAATGAGAATAAACTGAAGAAGGCCTTGCCTAACTCCTGTGAGGGCCCAGCCAGACCCAGTTCTAGCACAGGATTCTCCTCTTCCCCTGCCAGTGTCAACAAAACGTCACTCTTCAAAACTATGAAGTTTTCCAAAACAAGGCATGCTGTTTCAAAGGAAATAATTTCAGCAAAACATACAATACACATATTGCTATGCAAGGAAATACTTTCTATGTCCAGGAAAAATTCAATCCCAAGGAAAATGAGTATAATCCAAAAGAGTTTATAATTTGTATCTAGCTTTGCAACATGATTTCTTTTCAGTGAGGAACTTCCAGATCCCATTTGCTCAAGCCAATATTAGAATAAGAAAATTCCTTAACTACCAACCAAAAGATCGTCAGGAGTGATTACACAATTAAAGTCAAATTTTCTTTGTCAATTTCACTGATTTTCCTGGAATGTGGCTTACTTAAAAATTACATACTGGGGTCAACTTTATATTTTATTTAGCCCACAATACATAGGTGTGCTTTTCAGGAGAAATGTGCTTGTGTTGTTTTTATAATCCTTTGAGTCACATAATGTGAAATAATGAATAATTACTTTATCGTGACATACTTTTTACATGAATAATTTTGTAAAGATTTAGGAAGAAAGCTATATAAAATGTCTTTTGACTTGCACACTAAAAAATCATGTCTATTTTAACGCTTTTAACTGAATATTAAATTTTTAAAGGGTGCGTCTTTTAGACCATAGATTCATTGAAAGTAATATGGAAATAACCTCAGCAGTCATCTATCCCAACCTTCTCATTCAAAAAACAAGGAACCTGGGAGGTAGGAAAATTAAGGGGCTTCTTTCCAACATACTGCTAACTAGGTGGGAGAGGATCTAAAATTTAGATGTCAAGTTTTTTGGCACCTGGTACTGATGTGATGACACCACATGCCGTCCTGGACTTCATTCTGATGACATATAGCTGCACGAAAAACCAAAACCAAACACAAATCTATGTTTACTTAAAAAAGAAAAATACTGCCGAGTTTTGCCATTGTGTTGAAGAAAGCAGTTAATGAACTTATCTCCTCCCAGAAATCTCCAAACACACTGAAGTATTACAAAATACTCAGCTTTTAAATACCTATGCCAGTTTAAAAATAAAACACAGAAAACACTAGTGGATTAATGAAGCCTTCCCACGGGACAAAGAAGCCATTCTTGTGCTGCCTTCAGAGGCCACGGATGAGCCTCCTCATCTGGAACCATGAGGGCAATGGGTAGAGGAGATCGGAGAACGGACCTCTGTGGGTCTTGCATTCTAGGGGGCCCGCTCAGTGCCAGAGTCCAAGCCCTGAGTGATCACAGTGTAATTCAACTCGGAATAGTAAAAGAAATCAAATGAAGGCAAGTTTAGAAAGCCTGGTTCACGGATCAATTCCTAGAGTCAACAGAGAGGTCTTTTAATTCCAAGAGGTTCCCAAGACTCATTATCTAATAAGTTATCACGCAGTGCCACATTTTCAATATTAAACTGATGTTCTTCCCTGAGTGTGGAGAGGATGTGACAGCCATAATTCAGCTGTCGAACTCAGTTCCATTTAAAACTCCTTCAAAAGCTGAGCTCTGCCCTATATAGTTAAGTAGACTGTACACTGTACGGCTGGTTTGCCAAGAGCTTCGGTGCAGACCTTATAACTACTAGAGTGTCTGTCTAGTTTTTGTTTCTCCTTCGGAAAAAAGCAAAAGTTCAGTTCCAACTACTTAGGACCCAGGTCCTGTCTGTAGCCCTGAACACTGTGAAGCAGAAATGAGGCTAATTTACCGTACAGTGGGAAAGGACTTTATCACCTAACAAAATTTGCTTCCAATCTAATAAGACTTGCTTTTGTGCCACTTTTGAATTTATATCTCTTCAAAATATACTAATTTGTCATAAACAAATGAAACATTAAGTATAATAATAATAAAAATACTATACCCAATTAGTCATGTAAAATCCTAACGAGTAAAATAGAATGATTTCCTCATGAAACCCAGCAGTCAAGTTTCCAAGATCTTAATTGTATTTGTATTGTACAGCTAGAACTCAAGCATATATATTTATAGTCATTCTTCTTGAAAATGGTGTATTTCAGGTAAACAATCGATTTATTATCTGCATGTATTTCACTGCAGCAGTTGCTGCTCCAAAAGCAAAAATTAACATTTTAAATTACTTCGAGTATTTCAGATTTAGCCAGCTGTACAGATCCAATGTTAGTAGTGGCAGCCAGGGGAACAGAATTTCTTATGACTAATTGGACGAAATCTATACACACCAAAGAACGGAAATAAAGTCTGGTAAGGCTTACTTGCTACTCCTGATGCCAGTCCATAGAGCAGTCCTCCCCCCTCCGACTGCTGAGACAAAACATGTGTTCCTGGAGGAGGTGGCTTTTCTTGTCTGATAAAGTTATATAACAAGGTTTTCACCAGTTTGCTGGTGTATGGAAGACTACACAAAAGGGAAAAAGAAGAAAATTAAACTCATGCTTATGGAAATCACCTGATTTTGTATAATGATACACATATAATCTATATAATCTACTAATATAAAGAGATTAGTACAGTTCAAGAAAATGGAGCATTATCATGTCATAGTGAAGACCATGGGGTTTGAGATCAGACTTGAGGCTTAATTTTGGCTTTCCTCCTTACTACACCATAAGTCATTGGTCCAATCACTTCAACTCTTGACCTTCAGTTACCTTATTTGTAATCTATAACAGGTGAGATATAAATTCAGTGTATAATACAGTACCCGGCACTTGAAAGGAGGCAATAACATAGAACCAGTAGAGAAAAGCAAGAACTACAAAGCAATACTATAAAGGACTATACTTTTTATGTATGACATTATTCAATTTATGCATGCATACAAAAAAATACATCTGTATGTACATTGATTTTTTTTAATGTTAATACTCTTTGTTTTTAAGTAATGGGATGAGGAAAAGGGAGAGAAAACAGGTGAAAAGGGATATGTGTCTACAAATTGATGATAGATAGATCAGGTCGTGCAATCTAGAGAAAACTGTTTAATAGACTCCTGAACCAAAGCTCAGGTCCTTTCCCTATTATCAGTGAAGGTGTATGGAGATAACCAATGTAGCAAGAAGCATATGAGAAAGACAAAGCTCCCTACTCCTTGAGAACTTTAATCAAAGCTACATTGCCTTTGTTTTTCATTCTAAAATTCTGTGGAGACTGTGTCAGTAGAAGGTATGGGTGTGTGTGTGTGTGTGTGTGTGTGTGTGTGTGTGTGTTTAATATGTACCTATGCCCATGCCCACCCACAGGAGATTGGAAGCTTCTGCTCAGGAGCACAGCCCCACATCCTAACACATGCCTACCACATGGGTAGCACACAATAATGATTTGTTGACTAAATGGAAGTAGGAATAGTCAGTTAAGAGGCCGCTGAAGTAGTCCAAGCACATCGTAACAGGTCACAGATCACAGCAGTTTCAGTGGGACTGGGGAGAAGGAGAAGATATAAAAAACCAATTTCAATGAACAAATATTACTGGATGACTGCTTAGACAAAGAGAGTGATAAGGAAGAAGAAAGATGATGTCAAAGTTTCAATTCTACAAAGAAACCACTAGAGAAGGTAACGGAGTTGGGTAATGAAAAGGGCAGGGAGGATAAATAGTTTGGGCAACAGCAGAGTTTGGTTCCTTATGTGCTGGGTTTGAAATGCTGGTAGAACAACCAGAGGAATGTCTGGTTGGTGACATGGAACAATACTAAAGTAACAGGCCAAGACCAGGAATCCAGATCTGTACAATAAAATCTAGACAAATTTAAAATAAAAACATACCATCGACCTCGCATCAAATACTTGTGACTGATGCTCTGCCGCAAAACTTCCTTGTGGAAGAGTTGGCAGGAAAGGAAAACAACCATCGTTGATATAGCTTCTACTGATATTTCATATGTAATATCTCTGGAGAAACAGAAAATAAAACAGAATAATGATCAGTTTGGAAGATTAAGATATTGCTTCTTTCCGAATAAACTATACATTTAAAAACTCAAATCTAAATATTCACGTGTTTTAGGTTATTAAAAAAACTAACGTGTTTAGCATAAAAATTAAGTTAAGGAAACTTTCCCAGTCATTGGCTCTTATTCCTGGGTCCGGTATCACATTACTTTCCTACTTTTCAGTTCCCATCTCCTACAAGTCTATTAGTGTGTAATGGAAACAGTTACCAGCAGTGCTCTGCTTTGAAGTTCCACTCTAAAGCCCTTATGTTCATTCCTATTTAGTTATAATACAGAAACAAATATTCAGATTGTATAACTGAAGAGAAATCCCAGCATAGGGAAGAAAACAATGCCTTTTCAAGTTGACAACCACTTTACAACGAACAATGGCATACCCTTGATCTTCTATCTCTAGTGTCCACATTCTTGAGGCCAACTCAGCATGTTCAGCACAGTATGAATAGTAAACAAATTATTCCTGTTTTATTAAGCATATTTCTATTATGAAGCACTACTCTTACCCTCCCAACATCATTATCCCCTTTTAGAAACAAATCTTAGATCAAAGAAAAAGGAAATAAAACTTCAGTGGAGCAGGAGGCACAAATAGGAATAAGTGCATCAAGAAATCTTCAGTTATTGCAGAAGTTTAAACACAATTATCATGGGGAATAGTTAACATGTTAGACCAGGAAAGTGGGAAACTCAGCAACACAGTAAAAAGAGTAACAGCTCCAAAAAAAAATCAAAATATTTTTACGGAACTGAAACATTCATGGAAAACCCAAAGAAAAATACTTACTACCTACTTAAATGAGGCTCATTAAACAAACTGAAGATGACTTGATTCTAGGACTGGGCAAGCTTAAATTCTACCAGATATTTTAAGGAGTTATTGCTGATAAAAACATATTTTAAAAACAAAGTATACAAAACACAAGAGGCCCATGCAATTGATCTAATAAAGGACATAAAGGATAATATGAATAGAATGATCTAAATTTTAAATGGTTGATCTAAATTCTACGCAAATTAATCTTCAAGTCAATGCAATCACAACCAAAATTCTCATTGGATTTTTTTCAGGAACCTCATAGACTGACTCTAATATTTTTATGAAACAATAAACATATAGCTAAGTGAATCTTAAAAATGAAGAGTGAAGGTAGGGACTTTCCCTACCAGATATAGTAACCATGCTATACAGCTAGAGTTATAAAAACAGCATAACATTTGCACACAAAAATAAATAGGCCACTAGAACTCAGTTGAGAACTGAATGTGTATCACAGACCTGTGTATATATGGAAACAATATACAGTAAATATGGATCCACAAATCAATGGAGAAAACACAGATTGTACAGAAGATGGTTCTAAGAAAAACTGTTTTTTTCATAAAAAACAACAACAAAAAAAACAGAATGGATCCCTATCTTACAACATATCAAAGACCTACTACAGATGAATTAAATACTTGGATATGAATGGTAAAACTAACGTTAATAGAAGAAAACGTACAATGATGTATTTATAACATAAGCACAAGAAATAACTTCTTAAACAAAAGCCTAACAGCACAAACTAAAGCCGAAAACAATGCACTTAATTACATCACAATTAAGGATTATTGCTCAACAAATGAAACCCTAACAAAGTTAACAGGCAGATGATAGACTAGAAGAACAAGAAACTAATATCTAGGATATCATAAGCAACTCCTGCAAATGGTCAAGAAAAAGCTAAGAGCTCCACTAGAGAAAAAGAGCAAAAAGATATACTTAAAACAATATGATACCCCTTTATGCCATAAATGTAAAGCAGTGGCAGGCATATGATGATATATAAACCCTCATGTGCTGCTGATGGGAATATTAACCAGTGCAGTCATTACAGAGAACAACCTATGACCCAATATGTGTACATATGCCAAAGAAAAATTCACAGAAATATGTCCGAGGACTGTGGAAGACACCCTCTAAATGACCCCAATAATCCCTGCTTCCTGCTATTCATGCCCTTGTGTAATTGGCTCCCCATGAGGAATAGGCTGGATCTAGCGACTCACTTCTAACAAAGAGAATACAGTAAAAGTGATAGGATACCACTTGTGAGAGGAGATTAGCTTTCAAAAAGATTATGACTTGTGTTGGGCATACTCTTGCTCTCCCATTTGCTTTATCTGAGGGAATCCAGCTGCCTTGCTGTGACCTCACATACGGAGTAGTAGTCTACCTGGCATTCCTCACTGGCTGTTGACTGGAGGAGTGAGGCCCTCTGTTCACCAACCCTATGGGAATTGCGTCCCACCAATAGCCAAATGAAAAATCTAGGAAGCAGCTTGATCCTCCCTCACTGAGGCTTCAGATGAGACCAGAACCCAAGCCATAAGTTTAACCTCATGAGACACTGGAGTCAGAGGCACCAAGCTACACTGTCCCCAGATTCCTGATCCTACAAACAACTGTGAAACAATATTGTTTTAAACAGCTAAGTTGTAGGGGAATTTATTAGGCAGTAATAGATAAATAATATAAAGACATGCATTATTTGTGGTGTTACAAAGTTGGAGGCAGTCCAGGTGTCCCTCACTGAGGAACTGGCGTAAAATGTGGTGGATGCGTACAGTGGAGCAGTTTGGACAGCAACAAACGAGATGCTCACCTGGCATCACAGGTAACTTTTTAAAGACAGTTATGAGAGGAAAAAGTAAAAAACTGAATGAGCTCTGTAAAACAATTCTATCTGTGTACATTAAAAACACATGTACACATGGGGCGGCCAATTAGCTCAGTTGGTTAGAGCGCAGTGCTCATAACACCAAGGTTGCTGGTTCCATCCCCACGCCCTCCACAACTAGACTGAAACAACTACTTGACTTGGAGCTTGATAGGTCCTGGAAAAACATACTGTTCCCCAATAAAATTTAAAAAAATAAAAAATAAATAAAAACACATGTATACATAACATTTTGTACTTGAACATACACATATAAAAATACAGGCACTAAACACATTTAAAAGGCTGTTTATGGGAAAGTACCTAGCAGTACTTTAACATATAATATAGTAGGGTACTTATCAAACATTAATTGGAATAAAGCATCTAAAACTCTACAGTTAACAAATTTAACTTGCTAAAGTTATCTGCTTTGAGAAGTTGGATCCATTTCATTAGTTTTTATACTGCTGCTATTAGCAAATCACCACAAACGTAGTGGCATCAAACAGCACAAATCTGTTATCATACAGTTCTGTAGTTGCAGTACAGGTCTCAAGGGGTTAAAATCAAGGTGTCAGCAAGCTGCTTTCCATTCTGCAGGCTCCAGGGAAGAATCCATTTCCTGCTGGTTTGGGTTGTTGGCAGGATTTAGCTCCTCCTGGCTGTAAAACCCAGGCCCCGCTTTCTTGCTGGCTGTAAGCGGAGGGTACTTCCCAGCTTCTAGAGGTCCGGACTCATGGATTCCTTCCTCCATCTTCAAAGCCAGTAATATCTTTGAATGACTCCTCCTGCGGCATCTCTCTGACCCACCCTTCTTTCTGGTTTCCTTTTCTACCTTTAAGGACTCATATGATTAGATTGGGCCCGCTAGGAAAATAAAGGACAATCTCCCATCAAAGGGCCCTTAACTTGAACAGCATCTAGTGTCCTATTCCTACTTTGCTGAGAGTTTTTTTCATGAATGAATGTTGAATTTGGTCAAATGCTTTCCCCACATTTACTGAGACAATCATTTGGTTTCTCTCTCTTTTTTTGGGCGGGAGAGGGGGAGAGATCAATGTGGCATCTTATATTGATTGGTTTTCAAGTGTTAACAATATTGCATTCCTGAGATAAGCCCCACTTGGTTATGATGTATTATCCTTTTCATATATTGCTGGATGCAATTTGCTAATTTTTCTAAAAAAAGATTTTTCTCCTCTATTCATGAGATATCAGTCTGTAATTTTATTCTTATGTAATGTTATTCTTAGCCTTTAGCACCAGAGTTATGCTGGCCTCATAAAATAAGTTATCCCATCTGCTCTTGAAACACTTTATTGAAATACATACTTCGTGATGTAATATTGAGCAAAGACAGAATAGTATGTACCATATGAATAAGTATACATGCAGATGCTAATACGCAAAAAATAAAAACGCACAATACTGGGAGATGAGATTATAGGTGACTATTTTTATTATTTTTAATTTAAAATTTTAAAATGGGAAAGGCATTTTAAAAACGAGTGGGAGAAGTATTTGCTTCAAACTGGTTGTCTGTCTCTACTGAGAAATTCCCTGGAAAAAAAAATATCATGAGATGTGGTCTGAGGATAATATCTAATCTCATTTTGACCACATATACTTCATTTACACTTTTATGTGTTTAGATTTTGGAACAATATAAATGTATCACCTATTTAGAAATTAAATTAATCAACAACTAAAAATAGAGGATTCTCATAAAACTAAACTTTATTAACTAAAATCTAATGACATTGAAATAAGAGCAAACAAAAAACTGAATCACATTGTGGCATGCTGTAGGAGTCATCAACCCAAAATTAGAAAACCTAGGACCTGTTCTAAGTTCCCTACTAAACTCACTCTGTTCCTTAAACAAATAACTATCTCTGGGTCTTGGTTTTCTTATTTGTAAATAAGCAAATTGAGCTAGATGATCTCTAATGACAATTCTTGCTCTAACTTTCTATAATGCTCAAGAAAAAAATGAATTCAGGGCAATGTTAGATTCCTATGAAAACAAAATTTAAAATATATTAATTGGGCTATCTTAAGTGCCAAATAATCAGGGAAATGAGCCAGGCAGACCAACACTTGAAAGAAACCAAAATTCTACCATGCTGAGTGTGGTGGTTTTTAAAAGATGAAAAATGTTTTAAGCCAACAGATCTTTCTTGTTTTAATGTCCTTGTATAATCTTCAGAAGATTTTCATTACACAATCACCAAAA